CCCAGTCATCGTGTTCTGCTTCCGGAAGAAGGACTGCGACAGCCTCGCCCAGCCGCTCCTGTCCTCGGGCGTGCTGGCGAAGCTGGCAGGCGAGAGCGCGCCAAGTCGCGCCGCGATCATCTCGGCTGCACGCAGGGGGGACTGTGCGCCAGATCGAGGTCCCCAGGCCGTCGAAGGCGACGTTTATCCTCCGATCCCCGAAGCCCGCCGAGAAAGTGAGGCAGTTCAGAAGAGGGGGGGGGGACTTTGAGATAAACCCTCAGGGGGCTATTCGGATCACCCTATCGAGGATGGACTCCCCCCCATCGTATATCCTACAGCTGTGCCCAAGAATTTTGGCTCAGTCGAAAGTTCAGTGAAGTCGGGAATTGGGGTTGCCATGCCCCCAAGTAGACCTGGACCAGCACGGGGACGGAGAGAGCGCTTGAGGAACTCGACCAGGAAGGTTCATGGCACCGTTCGCTCGTTGGGGCCTTGGCGTCGAGAGTTTTTCACGTCACCGATCGCTCTTGGGGGCTTCGATGTGAAGAGTTCTGCACATAACCGCTTGCTCTTGGGAGCCTGCCTGTTCCGAGTTGTACACGTCATCACTCGCTCTTGTCGGAAGCTGGAGCACATACATTACCAGTTGCGGGCGGTTTTTCAATCCCAGGACTTCTTTGAGGGTCTGCACAACGTCGGGGTGGTGTTGTGTGTACTTGTTTTCCCCGTTTTCCCAGGGAAACAACAAAGAATGTATACACCAGGATCCCGTATACACCCGGATCCGCGATCTTGTGCGAGATTCAGTGTAAGGCCAGACAAATGCGTCGGTATATAGAGTTCGGCTCCTTATCTTGGGTGCCTTGGTATACAGAGCTTGTCACTTCAACGCTCGCTCGTGGGAGCCTTGGTGTAAAGAATTGTGCACGTCACCGGTTATGTTTGGGAGCCTTGGAAGCACGAGTTGTTTACGTAACCGTTCGCTCTTGGGAGCTTTGGCGTTAAGGGCTTGTTACGTCACTGTTTGCTCTTAGGAGGTTTCGTGTAAAAGGGTTGTGCAGGTCACCGATCATTCATGGGAGCCTTGGAATGAAGACCTGTTTACGCAACCGTCCGCTCTTGGGAGTTTTGGCGTTGGAGTTGTTTACGTCACCGTTCGCTCTCGGGAGCCTGGGCATTCGGAACTTTCTGGCCCACCGTTCGCCCCACAAGGACTGCCGAGAACACAGGGGCCCCAGAGCTTGCCTCGCAGGGGCTCCGCCCGCTCCCCACAAAGACCCCAGAGATCGCCTCGCAAGGCTCGTCCCACGAGGACCTGGGAGCTCGACCAGCACGGGTCCCGGAACCCGTCCCGCAACGGCCCCGGGCTCGTACCACAGCGGTCCCGGAGCTCATCCCGCAACGGCTTTGCAGCTCGTCCCACAAGCCCCGACGCCCGTTCCACAGGGTTCCTGACGAACGGACAACACGCACCCATAACCACAGGGGGGTCGTTGGGGGGATGGCTGGCTATGGGTATGGGTGCGGGTTGTCGGACCCAGGGGAACGCTCCCGTTCGAGCGGGGACCCCCATCCGACAACACGCACCCATAGCCTTCTCCGATCCCCCTATGGGTATGGGTGTGTGTTGTTGGTTCGTCAGTTCCTCCGAGCCGTCCGGAAAAAGCCCCAGGTGGACTCGCGCCACGGGGCCCATGGAGCGCCTCGGAGCTCGTCCCGCAAGGGGTCCCGGAGAGTTCGGCGCGCCAGGGCCCCGGGGCCTGTCCCAAGCACGGGCCCTGGAGCCCGTCCCACAGAGGCCCTGCAGAGCTCAGAGGAGGGCAGGGTGAGACAAGGGTGACGTTTTCGCCTTTTTCGCTTCCCAGGGGCCTCCTCGTCGCCACGGCTGGACGCAGCGTGAAAAGTCGGTGCGTTTGGACCCCGGGAGGGGTCCAGGGACCGATTTTGAGCCGATTTGAAGACCGTTGTCTCACGGCCGTTGTCTCACGTTGCCCTCCTCCGAAGAGCTCATCCGACAATGGCCCGGGAGCTCGTCCCACGAGTGTCAAGGCGGGCGTGTCCCTCCACGGGAGGACTATTCATGCTTGCATCCGAATTCGCCTGGCGAAGGTCTCAACCATCTGCAGTTGTGGGTAACGCAGTTGTGAGTATCATCTTCGGTGGAGCTCCCTATGGGGCCACGAAGCGTGGGAGTGGTGTGCTGAAGTGGGTAGGGGGACGCATGTGGACGGTGGCACTGGCGCCTCTGGTCTTGCTCCCTATGGGGCCACGAAACGTGGGAGGGGTGTGCCGAAGTGGGTACTGGGGAGGCATGCAGTCGCAGCCACTGGGGCCTTCGGTGGAGCTGCCTATGGGGCCACGAAGCGTGTGACGGGTGTGCCGAAGTGGATGTGGGGGCGGCATGCGGGCGCAGCCAATCTGGCCTCGGGTGGAGCTCCCTATGGGGCCACGGAGCGTGGGAGGGGTAGGCAGAAATGGGTGGTGGGGAGGGCATGCGGGCGCAGCCAATGGGGCCTGTGGTGGAGCTCTCTATGGGGCCACGGAAGGCGTGAGGGGTGTGCCGAAATGGGTGGTGGGGAAGCATGCGGGCGCAGCCAATGGGGCCTTCGACGGAGCTCCCCATGCGGCATCGAAACGTGTGAGGGGTGTGCCGAAATGGGTGGTGGAAAGGCATGCGGGCGCAGCCATTGGGGCCTTCGGTGGAGCTCCCTCTGGGGCCACGAAACGTGTGATGGGTGTGCCGAAATGGGTTTGGGGGAGGCATGCAGGCGCAGCCACTGGGGCCTTCGGTGGAGCCCCAATGGGGCCACGACACATGTGAGGGGTGTGCCGAACTTGATGACGATGATGGTGATGAGGACGCCGATGATGATGAAGATGATGGTGATGATGACGCCGATGATGATGATGATGATGATGATGATGATGATGATGATGATGATGATGATGATGATGATGATGATGATGATGATGATGATGATGACGATGACGATAACGATGACGATCATGTTGATGATGTTGATGATGATGATGATGCTGCTGATGATGATGATGGTGAAGATGATCGTGATGTCGATGATGGTGTGATGACGACGACGATGAGGATGATGATGGTGATCAGTATGATGGTCATGCTGATGAGCACGAGTATGATGCTGGGAGGAGGGTGGGGAAGGAGGAAGGAGAGGAACGTGCGGCGCTGTTTCTTCAAAACGAGAACCCAACACCACAGGATGGTGGGGACAAATATGATTGGTTTCTCTGCCAATGTCGCCTGTAGGAGGACACGCCCGACCTAACGCAAGGATCGTGAAGCTCGGCCCACAAACGCCCTCCAGAGCTCGTCCCACAAGGGTCCCGGAGCTTGCCCGACCCCCCCCCCCCCCCGAGAGAGCGTCCCACAGAGGTCGGGGGCGGCCAATAGGGGGGTGACCACCCGGGGGGGGGAATAAAATGGCAGGGGCCGTGATATCTCTCCAGGTGTCAGGGCGCCTCTTCTCGTTTTAATACGTCCCCGGCCCCCCCCTGGCCCGCGCACGTGGGGCCGGCCATGATTTGCGCCCCCCCCGCTTGGACGCCCCCTTCTTCCCCGAAAAAGCCGCGGAGCTCGTCCCGCAAGCTCTCGGGAGCTCTCCCCACAATGTTATGGAACAAACATCCAGCAAGAACCTTGCGACAATCATTGGGTCTGCATTTCAGAGCATTCTTGGGAGTTCTTTTGGGGCCCTCTAGTGCCGTCTGGGGGCCCTCTTGGGCCGTTCTGAGAGCCTTTTGGGCCATCTTGGGGGGCTTTGGCCGTCTTGGGGCTCGCTTGGGGGCTTCGTGGAGCCCTCTTCGGGCTGTCCTGGGGTGTCTCCTGGGTTATCTTGTAGCCTTCTGGGGCCATCTGGGGACCCTCTTGGGGCCCCTCTGGGGCCGTCTGTGGGGCTCTTCTCGGGCCGCTGGGTCCTCTTGGGCTGTCTTGGGGCCCTCTTGGGGGTCTCTTGCGCCGTCTTGGGGTGATCTGTGGGGCCTCGTGGGCCGTCGCCCCAAAAAGGCGAGAACCCTGACCACCTTCATCCCAAAAAAGCGAGAACCCTGACCACCTTCACATGTCTTGAACAAACGGATGTTTTGTTGCCTCCTCAAAACCTCTTGGGAGTTGCTGGAGGGCCTGTTGCTCCGTCTTGGGGCCCTCTTGGACCGTCTTCAGGCGATCTTCGGCTATGCTCGAACGGTCTTGGGCGGCCTTAGGCTATCGTGGAGTGTTCTCCAGCCGCTTTGAAGCCGCCTAAGACCTCTCTAGGGCCTTCTTGGGGGTATCTGAGGCCGTCTGGGGCGCCTCTTGGGCCGTCTTAGGGCGGGGCGCGCGTGTTAGACCGGTGCGGTCGCGCTTCGCACCTCCGTTGGACACTCCCAAGAGGGCTTCGCCCCGCCAGAACGTCATACAACCTTACCTCGTTTTGGGGGGCACCTCCAACGTATTGAACAGTTCGATGCGAAGCTTGTCAATTATTTTCGGCCTCTGAGGGCCCTCGCGGGGCATTGGGGCCGTCAAGTCCCGACTCGGTATGCAAACCCAGTCCCGGGGAAACGGTCGGGGGTTGCAGGCCCTCGTCTTGAAGTATTCTTGGCGAAGCACCCCAGTGAGTACCGCGCTGTGGGTGCTGCTTTCGTTGGAGTTTGTTCTTTGGGGCCACGGAGCGTGCGAGGGGTGTGCCGACATGGGCGCGATGGGGCCATGCGAACTCTGTCACGGGGGCCATCGGAGGAGGTCCCCATGGGGCCACGAAGCGTGGGAGGAGGAGAAGAGGAGGAGGAGGAGGAGGAATCGGAGGAGGAGGAGGAGGAATCGGAGGGGAGGCGGAGGAGGAGGAGAGCGGAGGAGGCGGAGGAATCGGAGGAGGGGGGGAGGCTGAGGAGGAGGAGGAGGCGAGGAGGAGGAGGAGGAGGAGGCCATCGGAGGAGGTCCCCATGGGGCCACGAAGCGTGCAAGTGGCGCACGGAAATGGTGCCCGGGGGCGCACGCGAGCCCTGCCGCTGGCGCCTCCGGAGGAGCTCTCTACGGGGCCACGAAACGTGTTAGGAGTGTACGGAAATTCGGAGGCGGCCAAGAGGGGGGTGATGACTCACTCAGGGGGGTGGAAGACATCGTGGCGGGGGCCGTGATATCTCCCCAGATTTTATGGCGCCTCGTCTGATTTCATTACGTCCCTGCCCCCCCCCCCCCCCCCTCTGGGCCGCGCACGTACCGCCCGGCCATGAGTTGCGTCCCCCCCTCTCGGACGCCCCTTCTTGGCCGACCCCGAGAAATGGGGCGGGGGGACGCGTGCGAACCCTGCCGCACTAGTGCTTTCCGAGAAGCTCCCTACGGGGCCACGAAATGTGTAAGGGGTGTGTCGAAAAGGGTGGGGCGCACGCAGGCGGACCACCAGAAATCCACGGAGGTCCTGGAGTCTCAGGGTTGGGTTTCTTGTGGGAGTTGTCTTGTGCTGTAGGAGCTTTCGGAAGAGCTCCTTCTTTGGCCGCGATGCGAGGGGTGTGCCGAAATAGAACGGGGGAGCACATGCGAACCCTGCCTCCAGGGCCTTCGGAGGAGCTCCCCATGGGACGAAGGAGCGTGCGACGGGTGTAACGAAACGGCACGGAGGGGCGCATGCGAGCCCTGCCATTGGGACCTTTGGAGGAGCTCCCTATGTTTGCCGCGAAGCGTGTGAAGCGCATGCCCAAAGTGTGCGCTGGGATGCATGCGAACCCTGCCGCTGGGGCCTTCGGATGAGCTCCCTATGAGGCCACGAAGCGGGTGAGGAGTGTGCCGACGCGTGCAAACTCGGACACTGGGGCCTTCGGAGGATCTCCCCATGGGGCCACGAAGCGGGTGAGTGATGCGCCGAGATGGTGCGGGGGGACGTGTGCGAACTATGCCATCGATGCCTTCGGAGGAACTTCCTATGGGGCCACCAAACGTGAGTGAAGGGTGTGCCGAGCGCATGCGAACCTTGCCACTGAAGCCTCCGAATGAGTTCCGAAGTGGGCGCGGTGGGACATGCGAACCCTGCCACCAGGGCCTTCCGACGAGTTCCCCATGGGGCGAAGGAGCATGTGTCGGGTGTGTCAACATGGCGCGAGTGGACGTATGCGAACCCTGCCACTGGGGCCTCGGGTGGAGCTCCTTATGGGGCCACGAAACACGAGAGAGATGTGTCGACACTGCGCGGGGGTACGAATGCGAACCCTGACTCTGGTGCCTTCGGAGGAGCTCCTTATGAGGCCACGAAGCGGGTGAGGGCTGTGCTGACATGGCGCGGGTGGACGCGTGCGAACCTTGCCACCGGGGCCTTCGGAAAAGCTTCCCATAGGGTCACGGAACGGGGGAGGGGTGTGCCGGAATGGTGCGGGGGGACGGGGGGGACGACGATGAGGACGCGGGATGTGGGGAGGGAGGAAGAGGAGGAGGAGGAGGAGAGGAGGAGGAGGAGGCGGAGAGGAGGAGGAGGAGGAGAGGAGGAGGAGAAGGAGGAGGAGGAGAGAAGGACGAGGAGGCTGAGGAGGAGGAGGAGGAGGAGAAGGAGGAGGAGGGGAAGGAGAGGAGGGAGGAGGAAAGGAGGACGAGGATGAGGAGGAGCAGGACGTGGCGAGGACGAGGATGAGGAGGAGGAGGAGGAGGAGGAGGAGGGGAGGAGGAGGAGAGGAGGAGGAGGAGGAGGAGGAGGGGGAGTGGGAGGAGGAGAAGGGGGAACAGGGGGGAAATACGGGAGAGAAGGGGGAGAGGAGGAGTGAGTGACGAGAGGCGCTCTCTCGTCAGAGCGGGGCCCCGCCACCACAGGACGGCTGGGAACAACACGCCATATACCTCGGCGGGGGCTCCTGCGGCGTGCGCTCCCCGGCACCGGCGCCTCGCCGAGGCAGCGTCCCGGGGATGCCCGAAGCATTCCAGGCGGCCGCCGGAGACCGGGGCCACGAGTAAGTCGGGCATGTCCCTCTACTCGGGGGCGGAAAAGAGGGGGGTGATGACTAGGGGGGGGTGGATATCATGGCGGGGGCCATGATATTTCCCCAGATTTCATGGCGCCTCTTCTTATTTCATTACGTCCCTGGCCTCCTCGCTGGGCCGCGCACATGCCGCCGGTCATGATTTGCACCCCCCCCCTCTTGGACACCCCCCTCTTGGCCGCTCCCGATCTACAGGAGGAAGATCCAAAACAAATTCAATTACCCTGCGGCGTACCCAACCCATGTGCATGTAGGGTCAAGAGGAGTTGGCCCTGAGTTGCCAGGACAGTGGCCAGTCAGGCGCCGTTATATGCTGCGCAAGCTACACGGGGTGTGCTCACGCGGAACGGTTCACAGGACAACAGCATAACGACGAGGAGCGAGGGCCCAGGTTTGAGGAGGACACAAGGAGCGGGAACGAAGGGCAGGGCAAGGACGCGTGGGTGGGTGGGTGGGGGGGGGGGGCGCGAAACCGTCAGCGAGGCAGCAGCAGGGGGAAGGTGGCAGGGGGCAGAGGACGACGACGAAAGCGACGGGAGGAGCCCGAAGAGTGTTGCTTTGGGGGGCAGCGCGCACAAGATGCAACGCCGCATGCGCCATCACGCCGCGGCGCTCGACAAAAGGATTACACCTGCCAGTAGATAGTGCAAGAAGCGAGCGAGGCCTAGCTCGCCCGCCAGTGTCCTTGCTTCCCTCCTGCACTCTGCAGTGCGGAAGCTACACGGTCGAGGTCTGCGGGCGGCCCGCAGGAGCGCCCCGTGGGCCCCCCTGACAGCCCTCGAAGTTGGCGACCGTTTCGCAGATCGCAGCCCCCCGGGGACGGCGAGGTCAAGTCTGAGTCTGGGTGGTGCCTTACCCCGCTGAACCACCCACCCAGCAGCTCTCGAAAGTGGTGGCAGATTCGCAGGTCGCATCCCCCCAGTGAAGGCGATGTCTGATCTGAATCTGGGTGGTGCCTCATTCCCCTGGAACTCCCCAGCAGCCCTCGAAAACGATGACAGCTTCGCAGATCACAGCCCCATGGGGACTGCAAGGTCTAATCTGAATCCGGGTGGTGCCTAAGTCCGCTGGCCCCGCCAGCAGTCCTGGAAAGTGGCAACAGTTTCACGTATCACAGCCCGCCACGGATGGCGAGGTCTATTCTGCATTTGGGTGGTGCTTTACTCCGCCAGACCCGCCGGCAGCCGTCGAAAGTGGCGATAGTTTTGCATATCGCAGCCCCCCAGGGATGTCGAGGTCAAATCTGAATTTGGGTGGTGTCCCACACCGCTAGATCCCCAGCACGCCTCGAAAGTGGTGACAACTTCGCAGGTTTCAGCCGCCCAGGGATGGCGAGGTCTAATCTGAGTCTGGGTGGTGCTTCACTCCTGCGGACCCACCAGCAGCCCTCGAAAGTGGCGACAGTTTCGCAGATCGCAGCCCCCCGGGGACGGCGAGGTCGAAGCTGAATCCGGGTGGTGCCTAGTTAATTCCGCGGGCCCCACCAGCAGCCTTGGAAAGCGGCGACAGCGTCGAGATGTAATTTGAATTTGGTGGCTCTCTCCGTTCGACCCACCGGCAGCCGTCGAAAGTGGATACAGCTTTACAAATCGCAGCCCCCCCTGGGATGTCGAGGTCTAATATGGATCTGGGCGGTGCCTCATTCTGCAGCCCCCAGGGATGGCGAGGTGACGTAGGACGGCGAGGCGAGGAGGTTAAAGGCAAGAAAGCAGAGGAGGAGGGAGGAGAAGAGGAGAGGGCGGGAGAGGACGGAGACCGCGAGAACCCAACGCCAGAGGGCTGGGGAAAATAGTCCGGGGGCGATGGTTGACCATTGTATCGCACTCTCTGGCATGTGTAGACATTTTTGATTTTTCGTCCAAAAACCACCCGTGGGAGGAGGACAGGCCCGACCTGAGGCTACGGCCCGAAAGCCAGACGGCCCTTCGCCGGAGTGGCCTCCCTGATACGGGCGGCGCTCGAGCAGGGGGCGATTGCTGACAATTTTACCGTACTTTCTGGCATGTGTACACATCTTTCTTATTTTTCGCCCAAAGCCAGCCTGCAGGAGGACATGCCCGACCTGAGGCTGCGGCCCGAAAGCCAGACGGCCCCTCGCCAGGGTGGCCTCCCCGGCACGGGCGGCGCTCGAGGAGCGCACGCGGGCCATCACGGTAAAGGGGGCGCTCGTGAAGGAAGGCGCCCGAGAGGCTGCAGGCCCTGGATGGGCTCCTTACAGCGGGAGCGCGCATCGAGAAACCATATGCTTTTCGTCAGGGTACTCCAGATTTCGTAATAAAGGGAGGGGGGTCTCATTTCGGGGGGGGGGGTCTCTTCCAGGCTATCTTAGAGGGCCTGGGGGGTCTGGGGACGATGTTTTGGAGGGGTCTCCCACGGGGGAGGTCTGAAATGGCTTGTCCTGGAGGGTCCAGACCCCCTCCCTTTTATTACGAAATCTGGAGTATGCTTTTCGTCAGGGTATCCGGGGTTTCTTCGCTCCTCGCGCTGCGCGGTGACTTCCCGCAGCCGTTGAAGGAGCTGCTGCGTTCAGGGTGCTCCGGGTTTCCCCTCAGGTACCTCGCGCACGGCTTCTCGGGTTGGGTTCCTTATCTCAGAGTAGGAAAAGGTACCCATACCTCTACCCGTTCCTCGTTTTCCCCTTTTTGGGCCTCCTCGGAGGCCCTCGTCGCCACCGCTGGATTCGCCTCGAAATCCTGGTCAGAACGCACCCCAGGAGAGGTTCGGGGAGTAGCGCTATCGGTACCTTTACGTTTCTCCGTTATATGATGAGAGCGGCGGTGATATCCATGGCCAATCCACGACTGGATTTCCGCCAGCTTCCAGACTCTGGATTCCGTCTCCATTTCTTCCCTATCCAGTGATCCCAATGGACCCTTCGGTCGTTTGAAAAGTAGGTGTATTTTTGGGACTCCCAGATTCAAATTTGTTTTAGCCACCTTCCTACTTCAATGATCGAGTGGGTTTCCCTCTTCCCTTCCCTTCAGGAGGCCGGCGGAGACCCGGTCTGCTTCCAACGCCTTCCTGCTTCATGGTTCTACCTACTTCTTCCGACCGATGGGTAGTGTCACATCGTGTGGGACAATCCGCAAGCCGCACGCCAGAGGGCACGCTTGCCTAGGGTCGCGCTTTGCGTGCAGCCGATCGTTCGCAAGCAGATCAAGGACCAGCTGCGCTGGATTCCCGAGGAAGACAGGCTGCACTGCGAGCAACTCAGGTGGTTCACGGAGGATCGGAGGACGCCAATTGACAAGCTCACCGATCCTATCCAGGCCGATCCTTGGACCAGGACGGGCCCAGCCACGATCGGTGAGGAGGCCAAATGACGTCCCCCGATGAGGAATTGCTTCCCAGTGGCATTGGTGTCCACCACGGCGGTGTCGTGCCGTTCGCGAGGGAGATCACGGAGGTCCTGTTCAAGCAGGGTCTCCTGGACGTGCTCTTCTGCACGGAGACGTTCGGCATGGGCTTGAACATGCCGGCGAGAGTCGTCGTGTTCCATTTCAGGCCCCGGCAGCCCCTCACGAAGTTTGACGGCCAAGGCCAGCTATACGTAAGAGCGCCGCTTCGCCAGAGTGAATATTTCACCTAGCGCGTTCCACTTCTCGCAAAGTGCCGACTCGCAAGCGTCCGAAAAACAGACCTTTATTTCTACGAAGTGTACCGTAGATCCCCCGCGGCGGATCCAGGCCACTTGCGAGCAGTTGCTTTGCGAGTAGTGGAGCGCGCTTGCTTGTCCATGTGCGCAAGAGCTCCGCTTCGCAGGAGTGAGTCTTGGTGCGGTGCTTCCGGGGGGGGCGCTGGGGGGGGTCCAGAGCCACGCACGGAGGCCGTTGCTGCCGCTCCGCCCGCAGCGATGGGCACGCCGCGCAGCAAAGGCCACCCTCACATTCCGAGGCCGACCTCCGTGATCTCTCCGCCTCCTCGTCGTCGTCGTCGTTTCTGTCGTCGTCGTCGACGCCGTCGTCGTCGTTGTCGTCGCCATCGCGTAGTCGTCGTCGTCGTCGTCGTCGTCGTCGTCGTCGTCCACCTCCTCTTCCTCCTCCTCCTCCTCCACCTCCTCTTCCTCCTCCTTCTCCATATCGCTACGCGATCAGGCAGAGTCTCCAGAGATTCCTCCTCCTTCTCCTCCTCCTCCTTCTCCTCCTCCAGCGAGGCCGGCAGAAGCCCCCACACTGCCAAGTCGATCTTCCTAGTTCCCGTTCTTTCGCCCGCCACGTTTGCGGGCATGCGCCCGCGGATTCTGGCCCAGGATCGTTTCCACTGCAGGGTGTTTTTTGCTACGGGAGGGGTCCGTCCACCCCTGACTGGGCTCAATCTTACGTGCGGCCGGCGAGGGCAGAGGTTCCTGACCCCGCTGGAGTACCAGCAGATGAGCGGCCGAGCTGGGCGCAGGCAGTTGGACACGCACGGCACATCCATCGTGACCCTGGACGACACGTTCGACCCGAACGCCTTCGCGGCCATGCTGGACCGGCCGAGTCCGCCTGTCTGCAGCCGGTACGAGATGCAGGCGCGACTACAAAGTACCAATCGCTTGTTCAAATCATGTGGGCGTTGGCCAAGATTTCCGCCGACGGAAATCCAGTTGAAATGCTTCGTCGGCGTGCGAGCAGCGCCGACGTAGGAAGATTATGCCCGCGCGCATGTGTTTTGGGACTTCCAGGTTCCAGCATACTTCTGGTGCCTCCCACCTTTCAAGAGTCGGCTGGGTTTCCCTGGTCCTTCCTTCCCAAGGGGTGGGCGGACACACGATACACGATGTTGTATGGAAAATATTCGGGGAAGGGTTGTCCATAGTTGTTGTCCGGGGGGTTGTCCGGATCCCTGCGAGGTTGTCTGAGGGCTTGTCCGGCAGATCCGTCTTGTCTGCGCAGCGCACGTGGCTGTCCGGGTTGTCAGGGGGGCTGTCCGGGATTTCGTGATACGTGTAAGGCACACAAGCAGTACCTTCCGGCCTTTTGCTCCTTCCTGCCTGCATTCTCTTCTGCCGAGCGGTGGGTCAGCGTGGGCCTTCGCCAGAGTGGCCTCTGGCGCGGGCTGGCGGGGGTGCCCCGATCGCAGAGTGCGCTGCGGCAGCAGCAGCGCTTGCACGCTCGGGCCTGCCGCCCTCCCTCCCCCCCGCCTCCCCCTTGTGGAGCCACGCGCTAGAGTTATGTCGGGCGTGTCTCCCTACAGGGAGATTTTCTACGAAAATTAGACATACCTCCAAAATACCACCAAATGGGCAACAAATATTCAAAAAATAGTCCCCAGGCTATTTTTGGATTATTTGTTCAATATTGTTGGGGTATTTTTCCCTACCTAGGCTCTGCCTAGAAGGGTTCTTAGTCTGTGGGCTTAAAGGGGCCGGGCAGTGCAAAGCGCCCCTGGCGGTTCCCCCAGGATCCGCCCCGCGGTTCCCCTTGTTACGTCCCCTTAGCTTAGCTTTCTTATGCCATCTTAGCTTAGCCTAGCTTAACTTAGCTTAGCTTAGCTTAGCCTCGCTTAGCTTAGCTTAACTTAGCCTAGCTTAGCTTAGCTCAGCCTAGCCTAGCTTAGCTTAGCTTAGATCAGCTCAGCTTAGCGCAGCTTAGCGCAGCATTAGCATAGCATATCATCGCATAGCATTGCATATCATAGCATATCATAACATAGCACCGCGCAGCATATCATAGCATAGCATAGCATAGCATAGCGCAGCATAGCATAGCATAGCATAGCATAGCATAGCGCAGCATTGCATCGCATAGCATATTATAGCATCGCATAGCATGGCGCAGCATAGCATCGCATATCATAGCGCGGTATAACATATCATAGCATAGCCTGGTATAGTATAGCATAGCATCGCGCAGCATATCATATCATATCACAACACAACATAGCGCAAGCATAGCATAGCATAGCGCAGCATAACACAGTATATCATAGCCTGGCATACCATAGCGCAGCCTACCATACCCTAGCATAGCATAGCATAGCATAGCATAGCGCAGCTTAGCGCAGCTTAGGGCAGCATAGCGCAGCATAGCATAGCCTAGCATAGCATACCGTTACTACTAATATTGCTCTCCTCGGGGCTCCAACTCCTAGGTAGGGTTGCTCTGGGATAATTTATTTTGCGTCGAAAATCCCCCTGTAGGGGGACAGGCCCGAATTAACGCTAAAGGGAGCTCTTGGTCGGGGTCGCTCTTTGCGTGCAGCAGCCTCACATCTACAGATGAGGCCCGCGCCTTTTGAGGAGCAGGGGTGGCTTCTGAGAAGCCCTCCCCACTCCCCCCGCCCCCCTGTGCGCGCCGCCAAGTTGAGCCACGCGCCAAAGGTAGTTTTCAGTCGGGGTCGCTCCTTGTGTGCAGCCGGCAGGCCAGCTCGGCGCTGCGGCTCCTGAAGCACGGGCCGCAGCACATGTGGTGGTTTGTCTCGCAGACGCTGCTGCAGTTCGAGGACCCGGGGCGAGTCGACGACACTGTGGAGCGCTTGTGGGGGCGTCCTGGTGACATTCGAAGCCTTTCGCGCCTTCGGGGTGTCACGGCAATTGGGTCCAGCGCTGCCACATGGCAGATGTGTCCCCAAGCTATTTTGCACCTAGTGCGCTTTTTTCCTTACCAGAGGACTTGGATGGGTCTGCTGGGGTTTGCCTGGATCCCGCCGATGGCCGCCGTTGGGCGCTTCGTGGACGCCCTGTCCGCTGGGTGAATCTGCCGAGGTTTCGCGCTGTGCCCGCCCGTGGGTGCCTCGTGGGTTCCCCGTGCGTTGAGTGCACCACACACCTCGCACCGCATGGCTTGCACCGCCACGTTGTATTACATAGCCTGCGTGTCATATGTTGCGCCATATGTTTTGCAGCGCATAGCCTGCACCGCATACATATATATATATACTGCACCATGCAGGATGCATCGCACCACGCAGGCTACAGCACATGGCATGCACCAGGTGTAGTGAACCACGCCGCTCACACCACATAGATTGCGCCACAGATGTAGCACCGTGTAGTTTGCACCCCATATCTTGCATCCCACAGCTTTTACCCGTTGAGCTTGCACCGCAGAGATTTCACACAGTCTGAACAACATGGATTGCACCACGTTGCTTGCACCGCGCGCTGTCTACATCTCGGATGACACCACGCACTGGTGTCCACAATGGTAAAAGTTCGAAGGTGTTGCAGCAGAGCAGCACTGACGCCAATTAAGGCCGGTGGGCGCCCGCGGGCACCTCCTCGTGGCCACCTGGTGCGCTGGCTCGCACTCCTGGGTTTTCCGCTGGTGGTCGCCCGTGGCCGCCTCGTGCGCTGGGCGACACGGCGCCAGTGCAGCACATAGTTCGCACCACATGCATCCCCCCAGACTTATTGGCACACCCTGGGGCCCTGACCTCCGCCGAACCTCATAGAAGCCCACGGAAGTGGCGACCCCACGAAAGTGGCGACGGTTGCGCAGTCGCAGCCACCCACGGATCCGCGAGGCCTCGGCAGGGTGCGCATACGAGTCTATTCTCTGACCCCCCCAGTAGCCCAAGAATCCACGAGCGTGGCGACGGTCTCGCAGTTCGTAGCTACCGAAGGAGCAGCGAGGTCTCGTCCAGATGCGCGGGGCCCGCGACCCCCCTGGACACCCTAGGAGCCCGCGACAGTGGCGCCAATTGCGCTGCTCGCCGCTACTGGGTGCGCGTGGCTCACTATTCCGCGCGACCTCCTAGAAGCCCACCAAAGTGGCGAGGGTTGAGCAGTTCGCAGCCACCCATGGAGCAACGAGGTTTCAAATTGATCTGCGTGTCCCCCGGCTCCACTGGACTTCCCAGAAGCCAGCCACAGTGGCGACAATGATGCAGATCGCAGCCATCGAGGTCTCGGCTGGACCTGCGTGTCCTTCGACCCCGCTGGACTTGCCATGAGCCCTCGGAAGCGGCGGCCCTGGCGCATGACGCAGCCAGCTTGGGAGCAGCGAGGTCTCGGCTGGATTTGCGTGTCCAGGGAGCTACGAGGTCTCGGCTGGATCTTGGCGTCCCCCGACTCCGTCGTGCCCCCCAGGAGCACACGAAAGTGCCGACAGTTGCGCTTCTCGTAGCCACCCTCGGAGCAGCGAGGTCTCGGCTGGATCTGCGTTGCCCCCGGTTCCGCTGGACATCCCAAGAATCCACGAGCGTGGCGACGGTCTCGCAGTTCGTAGCTACCGAAGGAGCAGCGAGGTCTCGTCCAGATGCGCGGGGCCCGCGACCCCCCTGGACACCCTAGGAGCCCGCGACAGTGGCGCCAATTGCGCTGCTCGCCGCTACTGGGTGCGCGTGGCTCACTATTCCGCGCGACCTCCTAGAAGCCCACCAAAGTGGCGAGGGTTGAGCAGTTCGCAGCCACCACTGGAGCAGCGAGGTTTCAAATGGATCTGCGTATCCCCGGGCTCCGCTGGACCTCCCATACCCTAGCGACAGTTGCGCATTTCGTAGCCACCCAGGAGCAGCGAGAGGTCTCGACTGGATGCGCGTATTTCCTTATTCCGCCGTGCCTCCCAGGGTCCCACGAAAGTGGTGACCGTTGCGCAGTTCGGAATCTCCCAGGGAGCAGGGAGGTCTCAAACCGATGCGCGTCGCCCCCGCCTCCAGTGGACCTCCCAGGAGCCTACGGCAGAGGCAACACATGAGCAATTCGTAACCACCCAGGGAGCAGCGAGGTACGATTGGATTTGCGTGGCACCTGAATCCGCTGGACCGTCCAGGAGCCGACGAAAGTGGCGACAGTTGCGAAATTCACAGCCAACCAGGGAGCTGCGCAGGAGGAGGGCGGGAAGAGGACTCGGGAAATACCTTGGCCGAGACGTACACGACCCATTTCCCACGCTACGCGCATAGTTTTGTGAACCCCTCATACGCAAGAACACATCGCCAGACGTGCACGATCGGCGCTTCCCTCGTCTCCGCCGTGCCTCTCAGGGCGCCGAACGTGGCGGCAGCTGCGCAGTCCGCAGCCACCCAGGGGCAGCGAGGTCTCGGCTGGATCAGCATGGCCCCCGACCCCGCTGGACCCCAAGTGCGGGGGGGGCACGACCGACGACGCGGGAGGCGAGAGGAGGAGGAGGAGGAGGAGGAGGAGGAGGAGGAGGAGGAGGAGAAAGGAGGAGGAGGAGGAGGAGAAGAGGAGGAGGAGGAGGAGGAGGAGAAAGGAGGAGGGAGGAGAGGAGGAGAAAGGAGGAGGAGGAGGTGGAGCAGAAGCCGGGAAGGTATCAACAGTTGCATAGTTCGTGGCCGCCCATGGAGCAGCGAGGTCTCACATAGGTGCGCGGGGTCCCCGACCGTGCTAGCCTCCTCCTCCTCCTCCTCCTCCTGCTCCTCCTCCTCGTCCTCCTCCTCCTCGTCCTCCTCCTCCTCCTCCTCCTCCTCATCCTCCTCCTCAACTGCCAGGAGCCCACGACCGTGGCGACGGTTCCACAGTTCGCGGCCACGCAGGGAGCAGCGAGGTCCCCACGCGTACTCTCCCCCCTCCGCCGTGCGTCCCTGGGGCCCAGCATCGCGGTGACAATTGCGCAGTTCGCAGCCACCCAGGGAGATGTGAGGTCTCGGCTGGATGCGCGTACCCCCTCGGCTGGATGCGCGAGTACTCCCCATACACCGTCGGGGCTCCCAGGAGTGCACGAAAGTTATGCTTTATTTGCACAGTTCGCAGCCCCCCAGGGAGATGCGAGGCCTCGGCTAGGTCTGCGCACTCTCCCCAACTCCGCTGTGCCTTCCAGGAGCCGACGAACGTAGCGACGGCTTCCCAGCTCGCAGCCCGCCAGGGAGATGTGAGTCTCCGGCCGGGTCTGCCACCTCCCCGCGTCCACCCGGGCAGGGAGCAGCGAGGTCTCGTCCGGTTGCGCGTGCCCCCCGACTCCGCTGGACCTCCCAGGGGCCTACGACAGTGGCGACAGCTGGGCAGTACGCAGCCACCCAGGGAGTGGCGCGGTCTCGGCTGCGTGCGCGTGCCTCCGACTGTGAGGCTTCGGCTGGGCGCGCGTATCCCCATGCACGCGTGCGTGTGTGTGTGTGTACAACAGTGTATAATTTCAGCTCGCACCGAATAGTGTGCACTCTCTGGCTCGTGTGACATGTATTGCATGGCATAGCTTGCGCCACGTAGGCTGCACCACGCAAATTGCGGATTCAGGTTACACAGACTGCATCACAAGCTGGTCCCCTTTTCCCGCCCCCATCCCAGATCGTTCCCCGGAGGGTCCAGAGCCCGAAATTGGCCCCTGGAGGCCGAAAATGAACAGGAACAAGCAGACAAAAGCGCCTTGGGACAGAAGCATTCTCGCCAGGAGCGGGAGAGAGAGAGGCGGGACTGCGTGCTGCTCAAGCCGCTGGAGGCCCTGAAGTGCGCGATGGCTGACCCGGCAATCGGCCTGCTGGACTCTTCTGGGCACCCCACCCAACTCGGACTCGCATGCTCGGAGGGGAGGGGAGATGGCCAAATTTCGGAGGCACGGGCTGAACATCATGAGCTGTCAAGTAGCACCAATGTCGTTACGACCTCCATATTTCTCGGGTGGAACTTCGGAGGGCGATGGGTGTGTGATCCCGGACGGGGGTCCCCGCTCGAATGGGACCCCCGCTCCGATCTATAGGTATGTGGGCGCGTTAGCCTTTCATCAATACGCGTGCACCTGTCTCTGCTTGTGACAAACTCTCAGGACGAATGAGTTTTCTAGGCGGCGTCAGCCTGGGCGGACAAGCCAGTACCATTGGCAGCATCCTTGGCCAAACGCTGCATCGAGCGCTGGGACCCTTTGACGGGCCTGGCAAGTGCCACCATGGCTCGAGCCCCGAGCACCACCACGCAGACCCGGAGCGCACCACCGACCAGGCCGATGCCGGGCCCAGGCTCGGTGCATGTGCCAAGGTGCCGAAAAGCCAGGGGGCCAATCCCTTGCAAACAGGGTGTTTCGTGAACGGGGCCGTAGTCGAGGGGCCTCTTTAAGCGAGGATGGGGTGACAGGGTATTGACCTCGCACTAGTAAGTGATACTTCGGGACAACGCAAATCTCGATACATCATCACATCTCTGGGGGGGAGTACCTCGCACCTGTGCGCGGCAAATCAGTGTTTGAAAACACAATTCACAACGCACCCTTAGCTACCAGCCCGTTTACTAGCACTTCGTTTGCAGGGGCTTGGGGAGGGCGCATTGGCATCGTTCGGACGTGTGCATTTTTTCTCGGCGAGGGCCGTCGAGGAGCAGTCTGAATCGTCTGGCAAAACAGAAGACGCACGCACGAAGCCAAAAGTAGAAGGCACGGGGAAAACGCGCCCGAGCGATGGCAAGAGATGCCATCCTGGCGAAAAGCCAGGAGGGCGCATGCACCCATCCTGAGCCTAGGATTAAGTCGGGCCTGTCCCTCTACAGGTGGAAATTCAAACATGGTCAAATAATAGTCTGGAGACGATGTTTTTAAATATTTCGTTGTGTGCGTATGTTTGAATATTTATTGAATATTTCTGTTTCGCCCAAAGCCCCCCCTTTGGGAGGACAAGCCCGACCTACTATTGGCCACAGGGTGAGCCGGCCAGGTCTGGCGGTGTCACAGAGGGCGTTCTCCCAAAGACCCGGCTTCCCCGCCGCGGCGCCAGAGAGCGGTGCCCCCCCCCCCCCCCGCAACACCGCGCAGCCGCGCGGCCGCTAGACGTTCCACGGACCAGGCGCCGAAGTAGTGACCGCTTTGGATTCAGGAGGGGCTCCGGTTGCCGTGCCGTCCCATGGATCTAGGTCGGAAGCTCCGTATCGCTTAACCGACCCCCATCCCCATCCTCATTCCCTTCGAGACCCCCACGAAATTACCACCCCAGTTGGGGATACCCTCGAAACCCGAAGGGAACGGCCTATATCCCCATCTAGGGAGGTTAATCGGTCAAAGGGGCCCAGGCCACGCCGCTGGGGATGGGGGTCGGATAAACGATACTCGTGGTGGGAGCATGTTCACAACAGAAGGCGTAATGCTGGATCGAGGCCTCTCCGCAACCGCAGCCCAGAAGACATGGCGCCGATTTCCCGACCGTCCCCGTCGTCGTCCAGCCATCGACTGCTGTACGCATCAAGTCAGCGACGACTCTCGGCGTGCCCTGCGCGGCAAGCGAGCGACGAGGCCAAAGGACAGTGTCCACGCGATGTCCCAGCGGCAAAGCGAGGGAAGGCCCCCATCGGGAGCCTCGAGACGGGGGTCAACGCAAACGGGGGTCAGCCAGCACACCAGATCTTGCAGGATCCTGCGAAGACCCCCTCTGGCTGACCCGGGTCAGGGAGCCGCTCGTGGCCGCGAGGCGGCCGCGCCTACTGGCTGACCCGGGTTTGCGAAGATCTGCGTTGCAGTTTTTGTTTTCCTGCATTGCAGTTTTCGGTTTCCTGCTGACCCGGGTCTGGATTGACCCGGGTCAGAAGATCCCATCGACAGCGTCTTCGTTCTCATCTCGCCTCGCAGCGAGGGCAGAACGAGAACAGAACGAAGGAACACGAACGCAAAACGAGAACGAGAAGCACTGCCTAGAGGAGGAGGAGGAGGAGGAGGAGGAGGAGGAGGAGGAGGAGGAGGAGGAGGGATCCCGGGTCAGAAGATCCCCGACCCCGTCCTGCGCCGTGGCCGCGCCGTGCGGCTCCGGGGCTCGGGCCGCTCTCCGAGGACGCGTCTCGGGCGGCGGAGGCCCCCCGGGGGTCCCCAGCCAGCAGTGCGGTGACGGGCGCCGTGGAGAGGAGAGAAAGGCGCCGCGAGGGTCCGGGGATGTCTGCGTGCTGTGAGTGCGTGAGCGAGTGTGCGTTTGCGTGTGCGCGCGTGCGCGCGTGGGCGCGCGTGTGCGCGCACGCTTGTGCGTGTGCGTGCGCGTGCGCGTGCGCGTGCGCGTGCGCGCGTGTGCGCGTGCGTGCCCGTGGATCCCGAGCACACCACGCACTCCGACACCACGCGGCGTCGGGGCCCCGAGGCCGTGGCCAAGGCCCGCCCTGGCACGAGGAGCCCCTGCGTTCCCCACTCGGCGCCCCCGCGTGGCAGCTCGAGGGCTGCCGCAGCGGGGCGCCCCCGCGCCGCCCCCCGCCCGGACGCCACCGCCCCAGCAGCCGCCCCTGGCGGCCGCCAGACCCTCCGGCAGCCGCGCCCGACCGACTCCCCCGACCTCCTCCTCCTCCTCCTCCTCCTCCTCCTCCTCCTCCTCCCTCCCTCCTCCTCCTCCTCCTCCTCCTCCCGACCGCCTCCCCCGACCACTTCCTCCTCCTCCTCTTTCCTCCTCCTCCTCCTCCTCCTCCTCCTCCTCCTGCTCCTCCTGCTCCTCCTCCTCCCTCTTCTCCTCTCCTCCTCCTCCTCCCTCCTCCTCCTCCTCCTCCCCTCCTCCTCCTCCTCCTCCTCCTCCTCCTCCTCCTCCCGCGCCTCCGCCTCCGCCCTCATCCTTCCCACCAGTTTGCGTATGCCAGGAAACTCTAAGGAAACGTTTCTTCCTTCATCATACGTGATGGCGGAAGTCCTCCTCCTCCTCCTCCTCCTCTTCCTCCTCCTCCCGACCGCCTCCCCCGACCACTTCCTCCTCCTCTTTCTCCTCCTCCTCCTCCTCCTCCTCGTCCTCCTCCTCCTCCTCATCCTCCTCCTCCTCCCGCTCCTCCGCCTCCGCCTCCTCCTCCTTCCCACCAGTTTGCGTATGTCAGGAAACTCCAAGGAAACGCTTCTTCCTTCATCATACGTGATGGCGGAAGTCCTCCTCCTCCTCCTCCTCCTCCTCCTCCTCCTCCTCCTCCTCCTCCTCCTCCTCCTCCTCCCGACTGCCCCCCCGACCACTTGCTCCTCCTCCCTCCTCCTCCTCCTCCTCCTCCTCCTCCTCCTCCTCCTCCGCCTCCGCTATCTCCTCCTCCTCCTCCGAACGGCAGGTTCGTAGGTCATGGAATACAGATTTGAGGCAGTGCACGGATCAGGGGGCAGCCGTGAGAGAATTTTGAGGTAGTGTCCGTATCAAGGGTCAGCCGTAAGAGAAACAGGCCTGGATGGCGGGGGGCCGATTGAACGTGGGTTTTGCCCGGACTTTTGAACGCCTCGAGGGGAAGTCGGGCCAGAGTTGTGTTGGCATTTTCGTGGTCCGAGGGGCTGCTTGTGGGCTTGGGGGGGCGCCAGAAGGCGACCCGTGATAGAAAAAAGTCCTAGGGAAGGACGTCGACAGGTCGAGGGGGGGAATCAGACGGTCAATTGGAGCGTTCCAAAAACGACCTGCCTACGAGGATGGAAGGAGTTGCCATCTCTTCCGCGGCGGAAGGCGGTGGATGGGCGGCGGAAGGTCGGCGGAAGTAAAACCAGGCCGCCTCCGCCGGGTGCAGACGGCGGAAGCCGGCGGAAGTCAAAAGTTGTTCTTCCAGAGATGGCAGCACTTTTGGGCTTTGGGGTTTCCGAAACCCGCCAATTGTTGACGCTTCGCATCTCCCCGCCGGCCCGTCCGGACACGACCTCTCCAGGCGAGTCGCGCTGGCCAGAGAAGGGCAGCGGCGACGGCGAGGGGGGGCCCCCGAGGTCCCAACTCCTCGATCCTCGAAGCCCGCGGGCCTCAGGGGGGACCCCCTCTGGGCCAGGCTTGCGGAAGTCGGTCAGTGGAGAGGAAGCATGCTGCCAAATACTTTCCAGATGTCCACAACATGTTTCAAGCATGTCGCAAACGTGGTTAAAGCATTGTAAAAAAACATGTTTTTTACAATGTAAGCACATCTTTAATTCAATGGTAGTCCGCTTAGAGTGTCCATTGTCGTGGCATCCACAAGGCCAGGCGTTCGATCATGGACCCCGTGCTGAACGCAACCATCCAGCTTTTGCGACGAAGACCGCCAGAAACCGCCGAAGGACGCCAGAAGCCCGCCGAAGACCGCCCGGGGCCGGGGAAGAAGGGGTCCATGGTCGAATTCGCAGTGGCGAGGGGCCCGGAGGTCCCGACCCATTCCCCAGGACCGACTGTTCATCCGGGGTGTTTCTGTTGCAGTCCTGGGGCCCGGAGGGGGCCACAGGGGCCATTCCGGCATGATTTTTTTTCCCGACGCGAGGGGGTATGGGAGAGGGGGGCGGAGGCCTGCGAGAGCAGCGACGCTCTGCTCATGGCGCGGCTGCTGAGCGCGGGCTGCCTGCAGAGTGCGGACCCCGTGGACCTGGCGGCCTACCTCACGGCGTTCGTGCTCGAGCGGGGGGGGCCCGAGGCCAGCGGTGTCCACGGCTCAGTTTCGGTTCGGGCGCGTCGCAGTCGGTTGCTCTCGGTCGGCTCGAGTCGGTCGGGTTGCCTCGAGGGAGAAAGCCCACATAAACTGAACTGCTCGTAGTTCCGCGCGGGCTTCTTGTATATGCGCTGGGCCCCTCTGGCGCCGCCTTGGCGCGCTCCGCGCGCCAGGGAGGTCCAGGGCCGAACCAGCGCTTGCACCGAAGGGGGCCCTATAGCGGAGATTGAGAGAGTAGACGAATGCGCGCCGCCAGTTCCGGTGGGCGGCCAGGTTCCTGCGTTCTGGGTTCCCGGATTTTTGGTTCCGGGATCCAGGCCGATGTTTGTGGGCGGCTAGGTTCTTAGGTTTTCTGTTTCGGGTTTAGATTCCCAAGCGTTGTAAGTTTCTGGGTCTTCGAGTTCTTGGAGGTGGCCAGGTGAGAGCATATCGAGATGATTGTGTAATCGAAGGGAGCAGTATGAATTAATAGAAGAAGGAGGGAGAGAGAGAGAGAGAGACAGCACACATACTATACCGAGAACATGCATGCATATAGTTATGGAGACAAAGAAAAGATAGAAAAACAAACAAAGACATTGTACATGTGTATATACACAGAGAGTGAGAAACATGGACAATCCGTATGCAAGCTGATCTCTGTACCTATCTGTCGATCAATCTATTTATGCACAAATCCAGGAATACATAGAGATACGCATATAGAAGCACATGCACATACAGACAGAGAGAAAGAGAGAGAACGTGTAAAGTAGAGGGTGAGCACAAAGAGTAGCTACCCAGTCAGTGCTTGCACCGCAGAGGCCCTTGTTGGAGGCCGGCAGAGTGGCGGGGCCGATTTCGTTGGGTTCCACGCAGAATTCGGTGGGCGGCCGGTCTCCCAGGCTCGCGGCTTCGGGTCTGGAGTTCATGGTACGGTGGGTCTTTTAGGTTCTCGAGTTTCTTGCTTGATGTTTGTGATACAGGAAATGCAGATACGGAGCGGAATACATACATACACACAAACATACATGCATACATGAACACACATACATGTACACATACATACATGCATACATGCATGCATACATACATGCCTACACATACATTGATGTATGCATGCATGCATGTATACATGCATGCGTATTGGCATACATACATACATGCCTATACACATACATACATACATATATACAAACATACAGACATACATGCATACATGCATACATACATACATACATGCACACATGTATACATGCTTACATGCACACATACTCTTACTTACATGCATACATGCATACGTGCATACACACATAACAGGCAACCGTACACACAACCATACCTACCTATAGACGTACATATAACATTTACACATGCATGCATACATACATACACTCATACGTACATCGACACACTGTATGTCTACAGTGCGCTGTAGCAGCGTATGAAGAAACCTACGAGACAATCGAGCAGATATGACACATACTAGAGGTTAGTGGATCGAGGCATAAAAGAGAGAAGCGTAGACGGAGCAGAGGCCGATACAAGGAGGGGTAGAGAGGAACAGAGAGAGAGAGAGCATGCGCGACCATTCATGTCTGACTCGTTCAAAGTTGGAAGGAGGGGTCGGAATGAGAGGGCAGTACATATAGAGAGTACATGGAATAGGGCGCAGGGTAACTTTTGGGTGAAGAGAGAGAGAGAGAGAGAGAGAGAGAGAGTCAGAGACATGCAAAGAGAGAGAGAGAGAGAGAACAACCAAATCCACTGAGTACAGATGTGTGCTCATACATAAATACATCCAATCATCCCCCGCATGACTAAAAACACCTTGTGTCCCGTCAGGGTACCCTAGGTGTCTTTGGCGTGAGTGCGGCGTGGGTAGTTGTAGCAAGCTCGAAGGATCTGAACACAATTGAAGGGCACCACGGGTTTCTTGGGCGCTGGTGCGTTTCGGAGCGCGCGCCCGAGCCTCCAAGAAACTTCGAAGCATTCGGAGTACTGGGGGTCCCCTCGCCCAGGTTGTTCGCCCCGCGTTGCCCATCCATTGGCGGCCGTTCGCAGGTCTGGCAGGGGGGCGCTGGCGCATTTCGGGGCGCATGCCCGAAAACCAAAGAAATTAGCAAGTATTCGTAGTACCGTGGGTTTCTTCGGCCGCTTTCCCGTCTGTTCTCCACACAAAGCACAGTCGTTCGCGGGGGCTCATCAGTCTTGCAAGGGGGCTGTGGCGCATTCAGGGCGCGCGCTCGACGAAATCGACAGGCATGCAAGGTACCTTTGGCCCTTTGGCAGCGCGCTCGACGAATCGACGAAATCGACAGGCATTCGCCCGCCACTCCGGCTGTCCCTCTCCTCTCGCAAACCACACGCTCGTTCGCGGGGGCCCGTCAGTTTGGCAAGGGGGCTCTAGCGCATTCGCGGCGCCCGCCCGAGAGCCCTAGAATCTGCCAGGCATTCAGGGTACGTTTGGTTTCTTTGCCCCCCCCCGTTCTGCAGGCGGGGTGGTGGCGTGGCGCGGTGGCCTTTTCCTGTGGGGGAGGGGATCAACATCGACATCGACATAGGCATCACCGTCCCAGGCATGCCGTTTTAAATTGCTACACCTGACGCTAAGGGTTCTACTTGTAAAGTTTTCTGCCGCTGTCAAAGCCCAAAGTGTATTCACGGTGGCACCGTCGACTTGGCTTGGCGGTTGTGGTCTGTCCATCTATCTACACGCCCCCCCCCCGTCGCTGTCGCATCGATGCGTATGCGTATGTCCTGCCTATTGATCTGCCCAGCCTTGTGCGCTGTCTGTCGCACCTTCGGTTTGCCACGCGGGCGGACGTGCGCGGGTGACCATGGCCACCCCGTCGCGCGCGCGCGGTGCAGTGTTGGGTTTTGTCCCAATGCTCCAAATAATAACATCGGCATGCTGGTCAGGCAATGGTAGTAATTAAGTAGCGATGATCAGTGGTTTTTCCACGGTATCATGGGTGTGGCAGTATGGCTATTATGTACGCCACAGAACATGGGCGCTTGCGCGCATGCAGCGTTCCGTTTTGCTCAGACAAGTACGAACGTCGTTGTGGAGACCTGGAAACGACAGAGAAACCTCAGCGCTTGCCGTTCGGATCTCCTTGTTAAAATTGTGTACTACATTGGGTCGTTCGTGGCTGATACAGAGCTCCCCACACTCGCACGCGCGCGTGGGTGACCATTGTCATCCACGCGCGTGCGCGTGTGTAGCGTTGTGTATAGCCCAGGACAGAAAAGTCCCCATGTTAACCTGATGGAGCAAGTGAATCCGTTGCGGTTGCCGCTTGCCGTTCCTAGTGCGCATGGTTTTGGTGCTGTCTTGGAAATTGAAGCGAAACCTGAGCGGTGACCGATTGGATCTCCAAGTTGACATGGGGTCTGGCGCATCTACTCGACAATGGACAATGTAGAACGCTCCACGCGCGCGGATGCGCACGGGTGACCGTGGTCAATCAGGCGCACGCACGTGTGTAGCTTTATGTACTTACGGTCCAGAACAGTGACGTTGCAATGTTGCCCTTGAAGCTGAAGTGGGCTCCCAGCGGTGACCGCTTGGATCTCCTAGGTCATATGGGTCCTGGTGTATGTTCCCGCCCATGGGCAAAACAAAACGTTCCAAGCGCGTGCGCGTGTTTTGTTGTGTAGTAGCCAGGAGGAAAGTCGCCGCGTTGCCTTGACGCGCCCGTGCGTGTGTGCAGCGTTGTGTCTTTCCCTTGGTTTGCCCATAGTCTGGCCTTGGCCTGCCCGCTTACCCGTGACCGAAAGTCCGGGAGATTGGCAGGTATCCCGTGTGCCTTGGAACTCTTGGCCTTCCACTTTGGCTGTTCCGCCAGTGCGACGCATCCATCTGCGGGGGCTAGTCAGTCTTGCTTGGGGGCGCTGGCGCGTTGGGGGCGCGCCCGCAAGCCCGAGAAACTGGCAGACTTTCCGGGTGCCTTGGGTTTCTTTGCCGGACACCCTAGTTGTTTTTCGGGAGCGACGCATCCATATGCGGGGGGCCCGTCAGTCTCACATGGAGGCGCCAGCCCACCCATTCGGGGCTCATGCCCGATACCCCAAGAAATTGTGAATTGCATTGTGGGTGCCTTCGTTTTTTTTGTTTTGTCACCCTAGCCAAAGTCAGACAGGCGCTGTTTGTTTGGGGCGGGGAAGAGTCGTCATCTCTCTGTGTGTATTTTAAGGCCCGAAGCTTGCATTTTCGATCGGCTAGGGCTCCTTGGTGTCAAACTCTTCTGCGCAGGCGAGCAAGAAACTGCTCGGGCCAAGGTGCCCCAGGCATTCCGTTGGCAGTCGAAGCGCAAAAACCTCAACCCTGGACCAACAAACCTCGTCAGATTTCAGGGTTGGGCTTTTGCACTGTTCTTCTCCAAGTAGGCTTGCCTGATGGGTTCTTAATTGATTAAAAGTTGATGCCTCGTATTCTCACTTTGCCCGTTGCCTGGAGGTTCCTCGGGTTCCTCGGGGTTCCCGCCCCGGGTGCCTCCTATTGTTATGTTGCCCGTGTCCTGGAGATTCCTCAGGTTTCTCGGGTTCCCCGCCCCTGGTGTTTGTTATTGTTACTTTGCCCGCTTCCCGGAGCAATGCCAATCCATGCCAAGCAATGCCAAGCAATGTCAACCCATGCCAAGCAATGCCAAGGAATGCCAACCCATACCAAGCAATGCCAAGCAACGATAAGCAACGACAAGCACTGACAAGCGATGCGCCCAGCGATGCGCCCATGCAATAGGTTTTCTCCTTATTGGGGGTCGCGCCAGGCTCATCAGAGTGAGGGGGCCGAACGGTCATGCGCTGTCCCTGGGCGCGTCGCTGACTTGAGGTTGCGCAAAGTGGGTTGTTGTTGTCGTCGTCGTCGTCGTTGTTGTTGATGTTGATGCTGTTGCTGAGTTTTCAGTTCTAGAGATCAACTACTGTTGATCTCCACCCTCCGGTACCCACTGGATTTGTTGGATTAAAGGGCCTCTCCCAGGGCTCGCACATTGTTGTTTCACAAATCGAAGTGAGGTGTCACCAATCTGGGCCCCTTGCCCCCGGTTTACAACAACAACGGTTCCCGCCTGATACGTCCTCACAATGTATTCCCACATCGCTCTCTCGCGCAGGACTTCCTTACAATTTTACGCACGAGTCGCGCTCCCGCGTGGGACTGCCTCGCAATCTATTTAGAGGCTACGCCTTCGACACTCAGGGATCACGCTCTCTCTATGGATTTCCGGACGATTGATTCTGAGAAACGCAGTCTCGTTCGAGCTCTCCTCGCGGTTCATGCAGGACGCACGCATTCAGCAACCGGCCTGCTCGACCTGGCCGCCCGGCCCCGCCTTCCCGACCCGCCCGTTAGGGTTTGCCCGCCCGATCTGCCCGTCTGGTTCTGCCACGTGCTTTCTGCTCCTAGCGCCCATCCTGCTATTCTATCTTGTGCTCCATCCCCTTCCCTCCCCATTGTCCCTTTCTTTCATCCGTCCTCTCTTCTCCTCCATTACATGCTACACTAAATATACGTTGGAGTTAAGAAAGATATACCCCAAAAGGGGTACGATCGAAGACGAAGAGGGTGGGTATCGAGGCTTTGGGATGTACGTGTTGAGTGGCACTCGAGCAGATAAGAGGGAACAGTCTTGAACTGATGGTTGTTGTTGTTGCTGCTGTTGTTGGCGTTGTTGTTGTGGTTGTGGTTGTTGTAGTTGGTTGTTTGTTGTTCGTTGCTAATTGTTTTTTGTGTGTGTGTTGTTTGCTGTTTGTTGTTTGCTGTTTGTTGTCGTCCCCCCCCCCCCGACCCGGCCCGCGACCCACCCCGCGACCCACCCGCGACCCACCCGCGACCAAACCCACGACCCACCCGCGACCCACCCGCGATCCGCCCGAGACCCACCCGCGAATCACATGTGACCCACCCGCGACCCGGCCCGCGACCCACCCGCGACCTACCCATGACCCACCCGCGACCCACCCCGCGACCCACCCACATTGCCTAGTCGAAAAATCGGCGACTGCTGCGGGTTCTGTGTATGGTTTGTGAAATTCGGTGCCTGCGGCGGGATCCTTCAGAGTCTCGCAGGCTGCCGACGTCCCCCCCGCCCCCTCACTCTTATCCGCAACTGCGGTGCACTAGATATGGTTGATTATTTGTCCTTGCGCACCTTAATACATCTACTTGTAAATAGTTGCGAGAGTCGGTTTGGGACAATAGAGTGCAGAGCAAGCTCCCAGAACTCATCAGGAAAATAGAGTATATGTATATCAGGAATCTACAGCAGAGAGTAAGAGAAACAGTGACAGAGAGAGAGAGAGGGAAGGGGTGGGGCGCATGTAAGAATTGTTCTCTTATGGTGCAAGTGTTGTGTATGTCAATGTTTTCTCTTCCGCGGTGGGGTCATTGGTCAAGGCATGTGCCCGAGAAGCTGCAGACCGTGGAGGATTCTTTATCTGATGAAGACGGTGGTGATATCCACGGCCTATCCACGATTGAACATCCACCGGTTTCCAAACACTGGGCTCTTCGTCCTGGGTTCTACATCCTAAATGTTTCTTATCCGCTGCCTTTCACAGCAGTTGCTGCGCCGCTGCGTCCTGTTCAGCCGCTCTCGCTCGATTGGGCTTCCCTCGGCGGCGGTGTCTCAGGCTCCTCCCCTTCCCTCGCTCTCCCTCCCTTTTCCTCCTCCTCCTCCCTCCCCTCCAGGCATGCGACGTCTTGATTTTTTAAGGACGGCGTCGCTGGAGGTCCCGACCCTTTCCCCGAGACCCGCTTTTCGTCCTGAGCCGTTTCTTGACGGCCCCGAGGCCCGGCGAGGGCCCCCCCGGGACCGAAAATAGAAACAGAATTGCCCGTCGTGATTTCTGTCACGACGCGATCCTGGCTGGGCCCCCTCCCTCGAGGGCAGGGAGCGGGGGAAGCGGAGCGGCGCCAGCGGCGAAGGCGGCCGTTCCTTGACGGCCCCGAGGCCCGGCGAGGGCCCCCCCGGGGCCGAAAGTAGCAACACGTTGCCCATCGTGAGTTCTGTCACGACGCGATCCTGGCTGGGGCCCCTGCCCTCGAGGGCAGGGGGCGGGTAAAACGACGCGAAGATCGGGACAGAATCGGATCGGGATAACTCGAAATCCCCGAGAATCGGCGGGCTTGGAGGACGTATTGGGCGCCGCGGCCGCTCCAGAGCGTTCCGGAACGCTCTGAGAGCGCTCCGGAACGCTCTGGAGCGATTTATCCCGATCCTAGCCCTGTCTTAGCGGGGGAGGCGGAGCGGCGCCAGCGGCGAAGGCCGCCGGGCGGGCGGCCGGCAGCCGCTCGAGGCTCGGCCTCGGCGCCGCTGCCGTCGCGGTGGGCCTTCGGCCGGGGGTGTCGCCGCGCACGGCCCTCTGCTTAGGTCGGGCCTGTCCCCCTACAAGAATGTTTCTAAAAAGTTAGAAACTACAAATGTTTGCGTGAAACATGCTTCTAAATAGTTATGCAGCTTTACTGTAAAAATGAAGATGTTCTACACAATTTCTTAACAATAAGTAAACCATCTCTAAACTAACGGTATATAGTCAAAAACAAGTATGCCCCCCCTATTTTGAGTGACAAGCGTTTCTAAACAGTTTCGAAAAGATGCCAGAGGAATGTTCAAGAATAGTGGCACATCGTCCTAAGTCTGTTTGTTGGACTGCTCTTGGGTATGCCACCTGTAGAGGGACTGGCCCGACTCGAGCCTCTGCGAGGCCGGCGGGGCGGCGGAGGAGCGCGCCCGGGAGCACCCGGGGCTCTGGGCTCTGAAGCGGTGGTGCCAGGAGCCGCGGGGCCCTCAAGCAGTGGCGAAGCGTCCCGGCTCGCGTCTTGGCCCACCAAACAATGTTCGGGGGCGGAAAAGAAGGGGGTGATGACTAGGGGGGGGATTTCATGGCGCGGGCCACGATTTTTCCTCAGATTTCATGGCGCCTCTTCTTATTTCATTACGTCCCTGGCCCCCCCGCTGGGCCGCGCACATGCCGCCGGTCATGATTAGCACACCCCCCTCTTCGACACCCCCCTCTTGGCCGCTCCAAAAATGTTCTAAGAATCCTTTGTGGTTTCCACGAAATGCTCTTAGAGCACTTCTGGCTGGGACTTTGTTCTGTTCCAACTCATCGAGCTTATGTTCTAAGAACCTTGTTTTTGTTATTCGACCATGTTCGGGTTCTACGAACATGTCGTGGTAGGCTTATAGAAATGCCGGGACGGTCGGTCCCTGCTCACAGGGAGACCAAATCGTCGACGTCGGCCCAGACCCTCTCGCGTCGTGAACGAAACCAGGGTCCAGTTCGATCCTATCGATCTCGATGCCGGCCCCAGCCGATTCGATCCCGTCATTCCAGCGACCCGACGCGGCCCGAGGCATTCGTGGCGCCGTTGTGCATATTGACGCGGCTGATCGGACTCGATTTCGGTTCCTTGCCATTGCAGTCCGATCCGACGAACATTCCGATCCGATCCGATTTCCCAATTCGGTGCTGGCTGATCTTGAGACATCCGATCAAAGTTCGACAATTGATGATTGTCGACTTCGGGCGCTTTGTTTTACCAGGCCTTGGGACTTTCGAAGGACAAACGCAGGATCGAGAGGCTGTCCCAGGGAAGGGGTCCAGACCTGAGGGGTCCACGTTGTGAAAAAAAAACGTCTGGAGGGTGGGAGAGGACGACCCGTCCCTCCCTGCCACGGCCGGGTCCGCATCGGAATCCTGGCCATAACGCACCTCAGGATAGGTTCAGGGAGTAGAGAGGTATCAGCATTTTCTTTTATCCCCCCAGGCGTATTGGAGTTCCCGTTTTCCAGTGCGTCGGGGGCGCCGCGTCGTGCCGCCGCCCCAGAGCATCTGACCTTGCACCGAAATCGCGGTAAACCGAAAGCTGAAGAACCCTAGTCGGCACCTACAGAAATGCTGTCGGAGGTCCACCCGGATTTCTCGAAGCAGCATCAGGCGCCCCTCCATGGCGCGCGGTGTGCGTCAGGGGTGGCGCTGGAGGCGCCGCCAGGACATGTCCAGCGCCGATGCAAGAAATCCGCGTGGACCCCCGAGCATAACATTCGATGCGTGGATCCTCGAGCGCCACGGCTGTTGCTCACACGTGTTGTTGGCGGCGGCAACGAATTTCAAGCGATGGCGACAAGCCGAGAGTAAGTTTGCGGCATGGTTGCTCCCTTTCCCTCGCGAGCTTATATTGAAACCAATGATGTCAGCCGGTGCCAGCATGCACTGGATTAGCCGACCAGCTGACGGAGTCTTGTCTGGAAGACTGTACTCGGGCGGTTCAGCGTTGTACCCTCGGCATCGGCACTTTCGCAGGGCAGGATGGGCGCTGGTCATGTAATGCGAACATCATAGCAGCAGCGTGCGGCGCGGCACCGTGCGAAGCATGTCCGTATCAGCAGGCACGTGCTATTGAAGACTATGCGGTGATAATGGCATGTGATTGTGCGTTCGGTGGTTTTTGTTTGCAGATCGGCTTTTCTAGTTCACTGCAGTGCGTTCGTGATCGTGCGTGGTTTGTGCATAGCATGAGCGAGCGAGCGCGCATCCATGGTAGTACAACTGGCATGTTTTTTGAGGATGGCCTCGTGGCTGTCAAGGTTCGTGCGCGCTCTGCCAGGCATGCTATGCGCGAGGGACGCACGACTAAAGTGCAGAAGATTGGCATACAGCAAAGCCGACGAGTGTGCCAATCGAGGAACAACATGCCATCCAACAAGTTAAAGGCGTCAGTAATTTGTCCTAACGGACTCGTTAGAACAAATTACTGACGCTTCGGGCCCAGGAGGTGAGACAGAGTTCTACGCAGCTCAGAGGCCACCGGGTTTCTTGAAAAGGCTGGGTTGACCAAAGAGATGCGTGGAACAGTTTGCGACATTTAGGGAAACGCGTACGCGTGCAAGGTGTGAGTTCGATTGTTCGCCTCTCCTTCCCCAAAACTGCTGAAACTGATCCTGAATGGGAGCTGTTAGTCCAGCTTCAAGGCCACCAGCTGCGTGTGGCCGATGTGTTAGTCAAGTTTCAAGGCCACCAGCTGCATCTGGCGATTGCTGGTAGCAGCGTTGCGATGTGTACCAGGTGCGGCGGCTACGCTTGGGCAGGCATCCACAGCCTGAACAGCCCGTGCGACCACCTTTCTGACTTTTGGGGGAGGCTGAGAGGCAGGAGGGGGAGAGGTCTTGTTCCAACTTGGTGAGTGCAGTCTAGTGGATGGGTGATCGGACGCATTTGCACATTGACCAGTACTGAATTGTTTCACCTCGCGAAGCGAGGAATTCGGAAGTCCCCCGCCCTGATCGTCGACCTTGAAAATGGTGTTCCACTCCAGGGATTTGGGGGGGAGAGGTGGAGTGAACAGTGGTTCCTCGCCAGACATGGTCTCAGCAGCGGCTTGCTGGAGCAAGTAATGACCCACGAGAGACCAAGGAGTCTGGCGATAGTGACGGCGACTCCGACTTGTTTTTGCTGCGTTCCGGAGCCAACGGCAGTCACGTGGGTTGCCCATGGAACAGATCAGAGGAGCAAGAGGAGGAGGATGAGGAGGAGGAGGAGGTGGAGCAAGAGGTGCAGGAAGAGGAGGATGGGGGGAGGAGAGCGGCTATCGGCGAATGTGCGTCGAACTGTTCCGGTACGGCACGATCTTTGTGCGGGGCGTCCTTCTCCCGAGGAGGAAGCGCTCGAGGTGGACGGCGCCATCGGCCGGTCCGGCCTGGCGAGGAAGAAGGACCGCCCGCGGCGGGGAGCAGGTGTTGGGGGAGAGGCCTCTTGGAATCAAGCAGTGGCGAAGCGTCCTGGTTCGCCTATAGCCCCACCAAGCAATGTTCTAAGAACCTTTTGTGGTTTCCACCAAATGTTCTTAGAACATTTCTGGTTGAGACAGTCTTGTTTTTACATTTGTTTTGTCTTGGTTTCACAGGGTACATTTGTGGGTTCTAAGAACATGTCGTGGTAGGACTATAGGAATGCCGGGACGGTCGGTCCCTGCTCAATGGAAGCTTTTCGCCGCCTTCGGCCCGTTGGCGGGCCCCCACTCGGAGGTTGGTAGACCTCCCACCCTGACACGTCGATTAAGGAATTGGCCGTTTTCGGTTTGCGAGAAGGCGTCGCGGCCGTCATCTTTGCGGGTCCAGGCCCGTCGGTTTCGGTCCCAGGCCGTTTTCACGAAGGGAAGGTTTACTAAAGGGAGGTTTGTCCACCGCCGATCCAAGGGCCTTTGCGCGACGCCAGTAACATTGCGCGACCACGAAACTACGGGCACCACTACAGCAATGACGCTACATGGTTGCAAGCAGCGGCGCAATCAGGGTGGGCCCCGTGCGAGCATGAATTCTGCAATGCTTGAGACGCTACGGATTCGCGTGCCTCGCCCAAGCGGGCACGGGCACGCGCGCCTCGCCCCGGGTGCTGGGATCGGCGCCTCGTTCGCTCACTCGTCGGGCCCCTGGGGCCGTCAAAACAGGGCTCGGGACGCAAAGCGTGTCCTTCAGGGGCAGCGCCAGGGGAGGATCTGCTGCGAGGGGCTGCGTCGACCTTCGACCGCCCACTCATCGCCGATAAGGGGCCCGATAGCCCGCCCCGCCCGTGGCCGTGCGCACTTGCGATCGGAGGCACTTATCCGACCGACCTATCGGCGATGCATCGCCGATTTGATGGTCGAGGTTTCCCCCCCGAACTGGACTCCCCCTAGTGTGGTGTTCCCCTGGTGGACTCCAGACTCGGACATCCGACGATCTGGTGTTGTTATTTCGATGCGCGGCCCCAGAAGTCCCGACCCTTCCCCCGAGGCCAGTTGTCCGTCCCGGATATGTCCTTTTATGGTTGAGGGGCCCGAGAATGGGCCCCAGATGCCAAAATCGGTATAGAAAAACGTAGAAATGATCGCAAACATCATGCCGTCGGAAATTTGGTAAGGCCCTGGGGTCCAGGACCCGTTTTCTTCGGGATCTGTCTCTTCGAAGCCCACAGGAGGACGATGGCACCGTGGCGCAGCGGTTGCAGGAGAGGGGCCATTTAGCGGAGGCCTTCAAGGCCACTTGGCTCAACTTTGGGACCCTGGACGACACGGCCGTAGCCACCGGCCTCGACTCTGGGTCACTCGCACGCCTCGTGAGGCTTGGCAGTTCCTGAGTGGCGCCCGAGTAGGTGGGGATCGGAGGACCGCGGCGCATCCCCGATGCATCTGCGATGCGGGTTGCCCAAGCATCGCCGGCGTCGCCGATCCGTCACCGTTGCATCGGCGATGCATCGGCGATGCGGCGCGATCCTCCGACCCGATCTACCCGGATCCCATGTGGGAGGCCTCGCGAGGCGCATGGACGAGTGCGGCCGGCAACTGACCGTCGCGATGCGGATCTTGGGCGACAGCGCTGCCGCGAGTGGCCTGGAGGCCGTGCTCGGGGAGAGGCTGCGGCGCGGGCTGCCCTTCTGCGAGTCGCTCTATTTCCCGGAGGATCGGAGGATGACAATCACATGCGCATGCAGTCGGGAACGTTTGCTTCGCGTGTCGCGCCACTGCTCCTGGCCCACCGCGCTTCGGCACGACACGCTAATCCACGGCCCGGTCTTGGTCCCCGAGCGTCCGCGTCCCGAACTGCTCCCAGCCTCCCGCCCCACGGAGCGAAGCGACACGCCTTCAGTTCGCAAGGCATCGCGTGCCGCTGGGGCCGCCGCCGCAACTTTTTCTATCCGCGGGTCGAGAGCGAGCCTCTTCCGGTCGAAGCTAAGCGGGCCGCGCACAGTTTTAATTAACAGAGGAAGAAACAAAGAAGGGGGGGCCTCACGTCAAGGCCATGAGGGGGCAGAGCCCCGGAATCAGGCGGTACCGACGACGATGTGTTTGCAAAGGAACGCCTTGGACAGGAACCCGGCGGCGGAGTACCGGAAGAAGCAAAATGCTGTGGTGGTGGTGCCAAACCGCCGCCGCAAGACGCTATGCGCAAACGCTCCTGACCGTCTGTTGGAGGCCATCGCGGATTTTTGTTGGGTCGGTGCTGGGCACCCTTCCTTTGACGCGCGCAGCGCGGCGAAGGGCCGGCGCCGACGGAGTCCAGCGCCGACCCAGGAGGCATCGCCGGATCTCATGGGCGTCATGACTGCACGAAGTCTGGCGTCCCTACACCTGGCATCGCTCGGACGTGTGTATTTTTTCTCGGCGAGGACCCTTGAGGAACATCCTGGATCGTCGAGCGAAAAACACACGCACGAAACCGAAACTTGCACGGGAAATGGACGTCCGAGCGACGGCAAGTATATCATGCGAGTTGAAATGCTGGTTTCGCGCCTCTCACATGACCGCGACTGGGCCCTGCATCTTTCTACGTTGTCGGGCCCTCGGGGCCCTCCCTCTCTATGGGGCCCAAGAGTCGTCGGGAGAATGTTCAGGATGACGATATGTTCGCAGGGGAAGGCCTCGGTGTCCAGGACTCTTCCATTGTCGCACGCCTCTTCCGTGCCATTGAAGGGTCTCGTGATGAGACCATGCGGAATTGGCGCCGTCAGGCGCGGTCTGGCGCCGGCCCAAGATGTCCGTGCAGACCTCTGGCCATCTGTGTTTCTGTAGCTTTTCCCCAGCTGGAACATATCCCCATCCGAGTTTGAGGATTCCCTCGGGCACTGAGCGCACATTCGTCACAGTGTCACTGCCCTGGGCCTGCCAATATTTTGGATGATGGGCGAACGCGAGGCTGGTTAGGTCGTTGAGATCCGCCGACGTGAGAACTATCCCTACAGTTTCCAATCCAGCAGGATATAATAGTAAGAGACAAGCCCCGAACACACAAAAGACATAGTCTGGATAAAAGACCCAACCATATGCAGTTGTGAGTTCCGCAATTATGTCTATATATTTTGGTGGCGTTCCCTATGTGGCCACGAAGCGCTGTACTGGGCGGGTGAAACGCAGGGAGGCAGGGGTGTGCTGGGTGGTGGCGGACGCATGCGGGCGGTGCCACTGGGACCTTCCGTGGAGCTCCCCACGGGGCCACGAAGCGCTGTACTGGGTGGGTGGAACGCAGGGAGCAAGGGCTGTGTTGGGTGGAGGCGGACGCATACGGGCGGTGCCAGTGGGACCTTCGGTGAAGCCCCCTTATGGGGCCACAAAGCGCTGCACTGGGTGGGTAAAACGAAGGGGGCAAGGGCTGTGATGGGTGGTGGCGGACGCATGCGGGCGGTGCCACTGGGACCTTCGGTGGAGCCCCCATATTGCGTCACGAAGCGCTGTATTGGGTGGGTGAAACGAAGGGAGCAATGGCTGTATTGGGTGGTGGCGGACGCATGCGGGCGGTGCCACTGGGACCTTCGGTGGAGCTCACGAAACGCTGTACTGGGTGGGTGGAAGGCAAGGAGCAAGGGCTGTGCTGGGTGGTTGCGGACGCATGCGGGCGGTGCCACTGGGACTTTCGGTGGAGCCCCCGATGGGGCCACGAAGCGCTGTACTGGGTGGGTGGAACGCAAGGAGCAAGGGCTGTGCTGGGTGGTGGCGGACGCACGCGGGCGGTGCCATGGGATTTTCGGTGGGGCCCCCTTTATGAGGCCACGAAGCGCTGTGTTGGGTGGGTCAAACGCATGGAAGAGGGAGGAGGGAAGAGGAGGGGGAAGAGGAGGAGAAGAGGAGAGGAACGCGGGGACCGTCTCTTCAAAACGACCCAACATCACAGGATGGTTTGGAACAAACATACATGTTGGATACCTTCGACCCAAGCCGGATCGCTCCGCGAGGGCCCAGGGGCCCGAAAAACCGCCCAGCGTTAAAACCAAACGACGCCCAGCGCTCAGGCCCGGGCGGTTAAGATCGACTCCGGCGCCCGTCGTTGGGCGCTTCTGTCGCCAGCACCTCGAGGCGGATCCGGCTCCGGCGACGAGGAGGAGCCCCCTGGAGGCGCCACGAAAATCGACAATACGTTCCAGCTCCTCGAGACTGTCAGGAGGGGCGAAGCCACACAGACACAATGAATCGTCGACCCCCAGGAAAAGAAGGGAAACTGTCGGAAGTGTGGGGGGAAAAACGAAATTCGAGAACATTTAAAACATTAGCTTTGTGAAAGACCCAACCATATGCAGTTGTGAGGTCCGCAATGGTGAATATTTTCGGTGGCGCTCCCTATGGGGCCACGAAACGCTGTACTGGGTTAGTGAAACGCAGGGAGCAAGGGCCGTGTTGGGTGGTCGCGGACGCATGCGGGCGGTGCCGCTGGGACCTTCGGTGGAGCCTCCATACGGCGCCACGAAACGCTGTACTGGGTGGGTGAAGCGCAGGGAGCGAGGGCTGTGCTGGGTGGTGGCCGACGCATGCGGGCGGTGCCACTGTTCTGTAGAGCCCCCTGATGGGGCCACGAAGCGCTGTACCGGGTGGGTGAAACGCAGGGAGCAACGGCTGTGCTGGGTGGCGGCGGACGCATGCGGGCGGTGCCACTGGGACCTTCGGTGGAGCCCCCTATGGGGCCACGAAGCGCTGCACTGGGTGGGTGAAACGAAGGGAGCAATGGCTGTACTGGGTGGTGGCGGATGCATGCGGGCGGTGCCATTGGGACCTTCGGTGGAGCTTCTTATGGGGCCACGGGACGCTGTACTGGGTAGGTGAAACGCAGGGAGCAAGGCTGTGCTGGGTGGTGGCGGACGCATGCCCGCGGTGCCATTGGGACCTTCGTTGGAGCTCCCTATGGATGGGCCCACGAAGCGCTGTACTGGGTGGGTGGAACGCAGGGGCAAGGGCTGTGATGGGTGGTGGCGGACGCATGCGGGCGGTGCCACTGGGACCTTCGGTGGAGCCCCCGATGGGGCCACGAGACGTTGAACTGGGTGGGTGAAGCGCAGGGAGCAAGGGCTGTGATGGGTGGTGGCGGACGCATGCGGGCGGTGCCACTTGGACTTTCGGTGGAGCCCCCTTTATGGGGCCACGAAGCGCTGTGCTGGGTGAAACGCATGGAAGAGGGAGGAGGGAGGAGGAGGGGGAAGAGGAGGAGAAGAGGAGAGGAACGAGGGGACCGTCTCTTCCAAACGAGGACCCAACACCACAGGATGGTTGGGAAACATAGGGAAACCTGGGATTTGTGTGTATCTATTTGTGTGTCCCTGGGCCCCTGTGGCCTGGACGCTCGAGCCTCGGCGCCTCGGCTCTTCCGTGAGGAGCTGCGCGGCCGCTCGGACGAGGTGCTGGACGGCCTCATGGCGGCAGAGCGGTCGGGCGACCCGTGGGCGTGCCCCCACGCGCCCGGCAGCCAGGCGCGCTTCCCACTCCCGGGGCTCAGGAGACGAGGGGTCCATGCAGACCGGGGCCCTTGCAGGATCCTGCAGGGCCAGGGCCGCACTGACCCGGGCCTGGGCGCAGGATCTTGCAGGATCCTTCGCAGTGACCCGGGCTGGGCGCAGGATCTTACATCACCGAGCGCGTTCCACTAGTCGCAGAGTGACTACTCGCAAACGTCCCCAAAACGCATGTCCGTTTCGATGCAAGTTGTCGTAGGTCCCCCGCGGGGGATCCAGGCCATTTGCGAGTAGTGACTTTGCGCGTAGTGGAACGCGCTCGTCGAATCTTGCAGCATTCTGCAAGGCCTGCCTGGCCCGGGTCTGCACTGACCCGGGTGAGCAGATCCCCGATTTCCTCCGCGCGCCCTCCGCGGGCGGCCTCCAAAACGACACTGCAGCCGCCGCAGTCGTCGCCGCCGCCGCCGCCGTGGCCGCCGTCGGCGCCGACGCCTCGTCCGCCGTCGGCCTCCTCGCTACCACCGCCTCTGACTCGGCGGCCAGCGAGGGGGGGAAGGTCACCACCCACCAAACCACCCCAACCCAACCCGAAGGTTCAGATTTACCCTCGATTTCTAGTTGGGGGGGGGGTCGGGAAACCTCGAAAAAACACGCGTGGAACCCTTACCCCCCCCAACCCGAAAATCGGGTCTTCGGGTTGGGTTGGGGTGGTCTGGTAGGTAGTCAGAAGGGAGAAGGAGTGCCAGCGAAGGAGAAGGCCCTCTCGCCGCGAGTGGAGTGGAGTGCGCGAGTGGGCTGCCTCTGCCGCGCCGCGGCGGAGAAAAAGGGCTGGAGGGCGCCCGTGGGCGCCCCGGTGCGCGCCTCGTGTGGAGTGGGCGTGCCGGGGGTTCGCCTGCTGCCGTTCGGTCGGGCGTGTCCCCCCTTCAGGGGTGTCTTGAGTCAGGAGGGAAAGAAACACGCAGACACAATTAATCGTCGACTCCCAAGAAAATATGGGAAAATATGGGAAGTGGGGGGGAAGACAGAAACCCAGAAAATATGTGAAAATATGGGGAATCCTTTTATTTGTGTGTATTTATTTGTGTGTCCTGGGGCCCCTTCATTGAGGGAGTATCTAGAAATATTCAAAAGACTACCCCCCAGACTTGCAAAAATAGTGAGACATAGTCCCTGGAGTATATCCCTCATGTAGAGGGACAGGCCCGACTTAATTAGGGGAGCGAAAAGTGACACAAAAACATAAAAACTCGGAGGTCCGCGCGGATTTCTCGGATCGGCGCTGGACCCCCCTCCCTGGCGCGCGGAGCGCGCCAGGGGCGGCGCCGGAGGCGCCGCCAGGAAGTCCAGCGCCGATCCGAGAAATCCGCGCGGACCTCCGAGTTGTTATGTTTATGTTAAGTCGTGCCTGACCCTCTACAGGGGGCATATTCAATTTTTTGTTTTAAAAGTCGGGGGACTGTTTCTGGAGCATTTTGGTTTTTACCATTTGGGGGCATTTTTTGAGGTATATTTTCTTTTTCGTCGAAGATCCCCCTGTAGGGGGACACGTTACCAGTTTGAAACAGATCCCTCTCCCTATGTTTGACATCACCTCACCTCGATGCCGATCTTAAGGGTTCCCTCAGTTTCTGAGGGCCTGTCCCTAAGATTGTCCTCGCTTTTTGCTCGCCCATCCTAGGGATAGGGATAAGTTCGAGG